CTTATAAATGATAAGAATGCTAATATAGATATAAAATCGACATTTTTTTGAAAATAGCCTACTATGATAGAAAACCAAAAATGTTTTAAATTGCATTTTAAAACATATCTAGGTCTTATAAATAATAAAGAATGTTAATATAGATATAAAATCGATATTTTTTTGAAAATAGCCTACTATGATCGAAAACCAAAAATGCTTTAAATTGCATTTTAAAACATATCTATTTCTTATAAATGATAAAAAAATGCTAATATAGATATAAAATCGAATTTTTTTTGAAAATAGCCTACTATGATAGAAAACCAAAAATGTTTTAAATTGCATTTTAAAACATATCTTGGTCTTATAAATGATAAAGAATGCTAATATAGATATAAAATCGAATTTTTTTTGAAAATAGCCTACTACGATCGAAAACCAAAAATGCTTTAAATTGCATTTTAAAACATATCTTGGTCTTATAAAAAAATAAAGAATGGTAATATAGATATAAAATCGAATTTTTTTTGAAAATAGCCTACTATGATAGAAAACCAAAAATGCTTTAAATTGCATTTTAAAACATATCTTGGTCTTATAAATGATAAAGAATGCTAATATAGATATAAAATCGAATTTTTTTTGAAAATAGCCTACTACGATCGAAAACCAAAAATGTTTTAAATTGCATTTTAAAACATATCTAGGTCTTATAAATAATAAAGAATGCTAATATAGATATAAAATCGAATTTTTTTGAAAATAGCCTACTATGATCGAAAACCAAAAATGCTTTAAATTGCATTTTAAAACATATCTAGGTATTATAAATAATAAAGAATGTTAATATAGATATAAAATCGAATTTTTTTGAAAATAGCCTACTATGATAGAAAACCAAAAATGTTTTAAATTGCATTTTAAAACATATCTAGGTCTTATAAATAATAAAGAATGTTAATATAGATATAAAATCGATATTTTTTTGAAAATAGCCTACTATGATCGAAAACCAAAAATGCTTTAAATTGCATTTTAAAACATATCTATTTCTTATAAATGATAAAAAATGCTAATATAGATATAAAATCGAATTTTTTTTGAAAATAGCCTACTATGATCGAAAACCAAAAATGCTTTAAATTGCATTTTAAAACATGTCTTGGTCTTATAAATGATAAGAATGCTAATATAGATATAAAATCGACATTTTTTTGAAAATAGCCTACTATGATCGAAAACCAAAAATGCTTTAAATTGCATTTTAAAACAAAACTAGGTCTTATAAATAATAAAGAATGCTAATATAGATATAAAATCGATATTTTTTTGAAAATAGCCTACTATGATCGAAAACCAAAAATGCTTTAAATTGCATTTTAAAACATATCCAGGTCTTATAAATAATAAAGAATGTTAATATAGATATAAAATCGATATTTTTTTGAAAATAGCCTACTATGATCGAAAACCAAAAATGCTTTAAATTGCATTTTAAAACAAAACTAGGTCTTATAAATAATAAAGAATGTTAATATAGATATAAAATCGATATTTTTTTGAAAATAGCCTACTATGATCGAAAACCAAAAATGCTTTAAATTGCATTTTAAAACAAAACTAGGTCTTATAAATAATAAAGAATGCTAATATAGATATAAAATCGATATTTTTTTGAAAATAGCCTACTATGATCGAAAACCAAAAATGCTTTAAATTGCATTTTAAAACAAAACTAGGTCTTATAAATAATAAAGAATGCTAATATAGATATAAAATCGATATTTTTTTGAAAATAGCCTACTATGATAGAAAACCAGAAATGCTTAAAATTGCATTTTAAAACATATCTTGGTCTTATAAATGATAAAGAATGCTAATATAGATATAAAATCGAATTTTTTTTGAAAATAGCCTACTACGATCGAAAACCAAAAATGCTTTAAATTGCATTTTAAAACATATCTTGGTCTTATAAATGATAAAGAATGCTAATATAGATATAAAATCGAATTTTTTTTGAAAATAGCCTACTATGATAGAAAACCAAAAATGCTTTAAATTGCATTTTAAAACATATCTTGGTCTTATAAATGATAAAGAATGCTAATATAGATATAAAATCGAATTTTTTTTGAAAATAGCCTACTACGATCGGAAACCAAAAATGCTTTAAATTGCATTTTAAAACATATCTTGGTCTTATAAATGATAAAGAATGGTAATATAGATATAAAATCGAATTTTTTTTGAAAATAGCCTACTATGATAGAAAACCAAAAATGCTTTAAATTGCATTTTAAAACATATCTTGGTCTTATAAATGATAAAGAATGCTAATATAGATATAAAATCGAATTTTTTTTGAAAATAGCCTACTACGATCGAAAACCAAAAATGTTTTAAATTGCATTTTAAAACATATCTAGGTCTTATAAATAATAAAGAATGCTAATATAGATATAAAATCGAATTTTTTTGAAAATAGCCTACTATGATCGAAAACCAAAAATGCTTTAAATTGCATTTTAAAACATATCTAGGTATTATAAATAATAAAGAATGTTAATATAGATATAAAATCGAATTTTTTTGAAAATAGCCTACTATGATAGAAAACCAAAAATGTTTTAAATTGCATTTTAAAACATATCTAGGTCTTATAAATAATAAAGAATGTTAATATAGATATAAAATCGATATTTTTTTGAAAATAGCCTACTATGATCGAAAACCAAAAATGCTTTAAATTGCATTTTAAAACATATCTATTTCTTATAAATGATAAAAAATGCTAATATAGATATAAAATCGAATTTTTTTTGAAAATAGCCTACTATGATCGAAAACCAAAAATGCTTTAAATTGCATTTTAAAACATGTCTTGGTCTTATAAATGATAAGAATGCTAATATAGATATAAAATCGACATTTTTTTGAAAATAGCCTACTATGATCGAAAACCAAAAATGCTTTAAATTGCATTTTAAAACAAAACTAGGTCTTATAAATAATAAAGAATGCTAATATAGATATAAAATCGATATTTTTTTGAAAATAGCCTACTATGATCGAAAACCAAAAATGCTTTAAATTGCATTTTAAAACATATCTATTTCTTATAAATGATAAAAAATGCTAATATAGATATAAAATCGAATTTTTTTTGAAAATAGCCTACTATGATCGAAAACCAAAAATGCTTTAAATTGCATTTTAAAACATGTCTTGGTCTTATAAATGATAAGAATGCTAATATAGATATAAAATCGACATTTTTTTGAAAATAGCCTACTATGATCGAAAACCAAAAATGCTTTAAATTGCATTTTAAAACAAAACTAGGTCTTATAAATAATAAAGAATGCTAATATAGATATAAAATCGATATTTTTTTGAAAATAGCCTACTATGATCGAAAACCAAAAATGCTTTAAATTGCATTTTAAAACATATCCAGGTCTTATAAATAATAAAGAATGTTAATATAGATATAAAATCGATATTTTTTTGAAAATAGCCTACTATGATCGAAAACCAAAAATGCTTTAAATTGCATTTTAAAACAAAACTAGGTCTTATAAATAATAAAGAATGTTAATATAGATATAAAATCGATATTTTTTTGAAAATAGCCTACTATGATCGAAAACCAAAAATGCTTTAAATTGCATTTTAAAACAAAACTAGGTCTTATAAATAATAAAGAATGCTAATATAGATATAAAATCGATATTTTTTTGAAAATAGCCTACTATGATCGAAAACCAAAAATGCTTTAAATTGCATTTTAAAACAAAACTAGGTCTTATAAATAATAAAGAATGCTAATATAGATATAAAATCGATATTTTTTTGAAAATAGCCTACTATGATAGAAAACCAGAAATGCTTAAAATTGCATTTTAAAACATATCTTGGTCTTATAAATGATAAAGAATGCTAATATAGATATAAAATCGAATTTTTTTTGAAAATAGCCTACTACGATCGAAAACCAAAAATGCTTTAAATTGCATTTTAAAACATATCTTGGTCTTATAAATGATAAAGAATGCTAATATAGATATAAAATCGAATTTTTTTTGAAAATAGCCTACTATGATAGAAAACCAAAAATGCTTTAAATTGCATTTTAAAACATATCTTGGTCTTATAAATGATAAAGAATGCTAATATAGATATAAAATCGAATTTTTTTTGAAAATAGCCTACTACGATCGGAAACCAAAAATGCTTTAAATTGCATTTTAAAACATATCTTGGTCTTATAAATGATAAAGAATGCTAATATAGATATAAAATCGAATTTTTTTTGAAAATAGCCTACTATGATAGAAAACCAAAAATGCTTTAAATTGCATTTTAAAACATATCTTGGTCTTATAAATGATAAAGAATGCTAATATAGATATAAAATCGAATTTTTTTTGAAAATAGCCTACTACGATCGAAAACCAAAAATGTTTTAAATTGCATTTTAAAACATATCTAGGTCTTATAAATAATAAAGAATGCTAATATAGATATAAAATCGAATTTTTTTGAAAATAGCCTACTATGATAGAAAACCAAAAATGCTTTAAATTGCATTTTAAAACATATCTTGGTCTTATAAATTATAAAGAATGCTAATATACCCTCAAATCCGGTTAAAAATTAATCAAGATTTACATAAATATTTCTTAAACCCACTCAAAACCAAATAAAATGAAATTTATTTAATGGTCTCCTTATAATTACCTTTAATTAAGATATCACCATTTTTGATTTCGTAATGAATATAGGGAGGATTAAAATAAATCCATCGGATTAAAATTTGAAATTGTTATATCTACGTAGGTGTTGATGGAAATGAGGCATGTTTAGTATCATTGGATAGGTCTTTTAAGGCGCTTCATTACTCGCGGAAGCTAATAATCCCTGAAATTTTAAAAAAAGCGAATATGAATGAAATAGCGTGAATATGAACTGAAAGCAAAAAATGGCAAGTTAGACAGCAAGCTCTAGTTTTTCAACAGTCGATTTTTATTTTTATTATTTATGCGTTTTCATGGATGAATGATAGAAAAAATGAAAGTAAATATGTTTTTTCATCATAAAATGATTAGTTTTTAGCATCATATTAATTTTATTATTAGTACTTGATTTTTTATTTAATTTTTTTTCTGCGATAACTTATGCATGTATGTTAGTGTTTTGGAGTCTTCGATATAATATTAGTAGAGAGAATTATTCATGGTAATAATACGCAATCAATTCACAATGCATTGATATTATTGGTAGAAAAATGCCAAATATTTCTTTTATTTTTTCGCAAAAAGAATGGCTTTTATGGTATGGGAATGATATAGTAAAATCCTCATTTTCTTTCATCTATCATCATTTCGTTTTTGAAATCAAATCAAAAGTCTTAACGCTTTTTTTTATGGGCACAAAAGTTCATTTAAGGAATAAGAAGCAGTAACGTGTTTCTATAGTAACTAAAATTGATTATTCGCAACATATAAAATAAGAAACATCATTGACAGACATTGACTAAACAAGAAAATCATCTTCATCTTCATAGATATAATAGGTAATAGCACAATGTTATTTCATTAAAAACCTAAAGGTACATAATCCGAAACTTGCAGAGACCAAACAAAATTCAATGAATACTATCCACAGTATAAAATGTTCATTAGAAAAATCTTTTGGATTTAAAAAATTTCATGACGCCGTAGCTGGTCTTGCAATTGACGAATTCGGATCTATAAAGGAAAAATATTTAATTATATTAAATTCTTTTAACGATAAATTTATCTTTTCGGACGTGGTAATCCGCTCTTCACTTGTGGTCTTGGAAGTCCGCTCATTGGACGTGCGATTCCTGAAGGTTTGGGAATTGCACCTGATGGCTTCTTTATCGGTTGATCTAATTCTTCAGTGCTGTTTTGTTGATATAATTGCTGCTCTGGTGCGAGAGATAAATGTACACTATTTCTAGAGCTTGCCGATGATGATGAAAGACTCTACAAAATTGGAAGAAAACACATTAAATTAGAGCAATTAGACTATAAATCGATAAGAAAAGAGCTTACATATGACTCATTATCTGAATCTAATCGTTTTGTTGTCCCGTTGCCATAATACCCAGATGATGGACGAACAAGCCCAGCTGTTTTTCGGTTTGTTGGTTGTGCTCTTGGTTGAAATGATTGTGGAACCTTAAAACCAGAAATCAATAAATTATTTTTAACGGAAATTTAAAGAATAATTTGTTCAGTAACACAAGTTCATTTTCGTTCAGTTCAATTTGAATTTTTGAAAACCGTTATAATTCAAATTAAAAAAATCCGTTAAGAATGTTTACCTTAAAGTTGTTATCCACAGGACGAACTAATGATGATGCTCGCGGACCCTTCAGGTTCGATTGAGATCTGGTGGTTTCAGGATAAAGTTTCAAGTTGCTCGACATTCGAATACCATTTTGTGAACTGCCACTTCCGTTATACATCAGATTGTGTATCGATTTGGACTTGATTCCCATCGGTGATTTCAAATTTGACACAGTTTTCTTTGAATTTGTGGATAAATCAGTATCATTATCAAGGCTATCAGTCGAGTTTGCTTTAAGTGGAAGATTGAGGTCATTTCTGGATCTATATGTAGGGCGTGAGAATCCGAATTTTGACAATTTGGACATTGCGGGTGGCTTTTTGAATTCACTTTCATCTTCCTGCTGTTTTTGTTGATTAATCTGATTTCTTCGTTCTTTATTACTTCCTGGACTTACTTCATTCGATGGAATTTGTGACTGTTGCTGCTGCTGTTCCTCTGACTCTTGCGTATCAACAATTACCATTCCCTTTTGCAATCTTGGTCGATTTAATTTGATTGTTTTAAAACGATCTCGGTCGTTCTTGTCAATGACTTCATTTTCTGCATCGATTCCGACGGATTGTAAATTATGATGGACACTCCCAGATTCATTTCCATTTCCATTCATTGAAGCCTCATTTTGCTGCTTCTGCAATTGTAAATTGACGTCGTCAAAAAGACGGGATCTTCGATTCAATAGTCTCTCGCTACTTTTATTCATCACATCATACTGTGTCCTATTATCATTTTCACAGTCTTTCTTCTGTCTTTTATCTTCCTTTTGCTTCTCCATATTTATGAGTGAATGACGCTGCTTAATGCTATCCACAGACTGTAAAAGCTTCTCGCTTTCTCGTGACTTTTGGACATTAAATGTGTCCAACATTTCATCAAATTCCTTCTCGTTGGCATCTGCAGATGTAATTAAGGCATTTCGAAGATCTTTTAGGCACTCAAATGACTCGCCACAAACGCGCGTTGACAATTTTATTGTTTCTTCATTAAGTAAAAATTCACATTGATCCTCAATTGAGTTTCTATAATCTTCCATTGTGATATCATTGACTAATTTTCTACCTTTAATATTTCTTAAAAGAATCTCATCATCGTCATCGTCAGCATTATTATTATTATTATTTGAATTTTGTGCTTGTAAACTACTTATTGGCGATATTGTGTCATCAAAGTTTTTCCTTAATTTATTTTTATGATCATTTTCTGGATGATTGTGAACGGGTGTTGATTGTACAACATTATTTTCCGGATTACTTCCATTGCTCAACCTTAAATCCTGAACTTTTTCCCAAGTTATATTGCCATTCTCGTACTTGTTAAACGTGAGATTCTTTCCAACATCCTCCGTACTCACATTCAATCGCATGTCAGCATTTTCTATTCCTATCTCTTTTATTGGCTCACTGTCTGTTGTCGTTGCTGCTGCAACAAATGTCCTGCCTACAAATGTTGCATTTGGCTGATTATTTGTGATTGTTTTATTGACATCGAACGTAAAATTCATCAAGTTTTGACTAATATTATTTGGATTGTTGTTCACTGACGTCACTGGAGTCTCTCGATTATTATTATTGACAATATTTGCATTATTTAATCGTCTAGTCTGCTCCAAATTATCTTGCATATTCGATAGGAAACTAATGTTTGTAAAGTCACTACTTGTTATGAGACTATTCAACATTGTGTCGTTATTTTGGAAGTCCATTGAAGTGCAGATCGATGAAGGCGGCGAGACATCATTTAACCAGCTTCGCTGCATTGATAATGGTGTAAAGGTGCCACCCACTTGAAGATTTATTGATGCAATCTGAAATTAATTTACATTTTATTAATGTATTGAGCAGTTTAAGTCGGGTTCAAGGCTGACTTACGCCAGATTCCATCGATTGCATCTCCGAGTTGACAGACTGCAGTGAAGGAGGTGTATTTGAGTCAGATATGTTAAATGTTCTTCTTTTTGCTGGTCTTGTGAATGTTCGTGAATCAAATGTCTCATTATTGACAATATTTACGGAATTAATATTCTCAACATCCTTTTTTGGCAGTGGGTTATTCAACTTCCACTTCTTAAAGATTTGTGTTACTTCATCGTCCATTGCTTCGGCTCGAATTACCCTACACAGCACATAAAGAAAAATTTACGCAATTATATATCTTTCTCTCCTCTCTGCAACTTGGTATGTGCAAGAAGAAAACAATATAATTCGTCTATAAAACAGACACATATATTTAAATATTGCTGTAATATGCTCCATAAAAGAGAGTAAAATGCATAACTTAATTTTGCAAACATTTTCATCCATATTAATGGTTTGTTGTGTTGTAAAATAATCATAATAATAATAAGTAATGAAACTTACAAGAATGAATCATCCATTGCCTCATCATTTAACAGACTTAAATCCATTTTTGTGTGTGTGAAATATATTTGTTTTTTGATAACTTAATTACACTAGAAATCTATGTTCAGAACCGAAAATAAATCCTAATTTCGCTAATACATTCACATAACAGAAAGAAATGAATTGCTTGCAACATAAGCACTGAAAATAAAGATATATTTTTTGATTAATTAAAGAAAAATCGTTTTTTTTCCTCTTTTTTTCTTTATGGATTTTTTAAGAATAAATCTCATAATAGTTCTATTTTTAAATCACGAAATATTCTCTTATACACTTAAAATCACTTTATACTGTCCTAAAGATCTGAATATTAACAAGATTACATGCAGAAATCATATTGAAATTCATGCAGATCCAGCTAGAAAATTGCATAAAAATATTTGAAAAATTGATTTATTTTAGAAAGTTTATTATTTTCATGCAATTTTTGACAAATTTTCAATTATAGAAAACTACCCACACAGTTTCTTTACTCCTTGAACTATCTCTGCGACTTATAACACTAAACTGTATGCTTTAACTTATCAACAATACACTCTTTCCGTCTTAAAATAATTAAAGATTTTATAAATGACTAAGAAAAGAGAAAAAAAAAATATATCAAGGGGAACAACAACTGCTGTTTTGAAAACGGTTACAGGCGCTGAATGTATGGAAACTTATTATTATATATTATTTGTATTCACTTTGTCTAATATCATAGTAAAATTAAGCTTTGTTTTTAAAATTACAAATGTTGACTTCAAAATTTTAAAATAATTCGTTCAGCAACTCAATTTTTTTGAAAACTTCAATTCATTTCAGTTCATTTTTACACAGTTTAAGTTTAAAAAGTTCGTTAAAAATTGAATTGAAAAAGTTCGTTAATTTTTGTTTCAGCTTTTCTTTTTTTAAGGTTCCTAATCAATGTTCAGTTAATCAAATGATCCCACTGTAAAATGCGCCTTAGAAGCTTAAAACTTAAGCCCTTCCTAATTTCAAAATAGACAACACCAAAAAGTTTACCGATGGATATAAGAGTATCTAAATATTTATCTTATCTTCTAAGGCACGGTGCTGAAAAAAGCAATCTAGATATCAACAGTACCGGCTTTGTTTCAGTGAATCAAATAATTAGTCTTCCTCAATCGAGGAATTACAAATTAGACGAAGAAACGATAAAAAAGATAGTCGATACGAATGATAAAAAGAGGTTCGAATTATCTCGATCCGAAAATGGGGAATTATTAATTAGAGCATGTCAAGGACATTCAATTAGAAATTTGGATGAGACACAAATGATGATGGAGATAATCGATGCTAATGAATATCCAATAATTGTCCATGGAACATATGAGAAGAATTGGGATAAAATTAAAACTGAAGGACTCAAAACGATGAATCGAAATCATGTCCATTTTGCGATTGGATATCCACAAGACAAACAAGTCATTTCAGGCATGCGAAAGTCATGTGAGCTATTTATAGAAATCGACATGCACAAAGCTATTCAAGATGGAATTAAGTTTTACCTCTCAACCAACAAAGTTGTTCTGTCTAGCGGAATTAACAACATAATAAGCCCAAAATATTTCAAAGTTGTAAAAAATCGTCATCGACAAATGAGTCAATAAATTAATATTTGTTGTTTGTTTTTGTAAATTTATTTATCCATTTTCACTTGATAAACACGTAAGCACCGATTGTTGGATTTGTTTGATATATTAAGGTTCTCTATAAAATTTTTGTCACAATTCACATAAGCGTATTTAGAGCCTACCCAAAAAAATAAATATATATTTTAATTAATTGAATTATCGTCTTGTTGGAGTAGTTGATGATCTATTGCTTATGCTCTTTAACTTTCGATTAACAAAGGAATTGGGGAGAGCCACAACGAGAGAGAAGAATGGAATTGGAAAGTCTCTGAAAAGTAAAATAACATTCAGTGATTAGCAAATCTTATCAGGCATGTTTGAGAATTTACATTCTTTGAGTGGGAGCACTGTCAATGCTACTAATGATAAGTAGAGGGAAAAACATGGAAAATATACATCCTTTGACTATAAAGGAATCTGATAGTTCCGTCAACAGCCCTAAATACAGTCCAAATCCAATATAGTAAGGCCAATTATATTCCTAGAAATTACAAAAATCATAAATTGTATGCTTTACTAATCCTTCGATTATAAATAAATCCCACGAAGTTAAACTTGGGATTAGATTACATTTTTAATCTTGGTCGATTTGGATCAATTCAAACGATCTAGTTTCAATAAAATTTGATACTTACCACTAATTTTAATCGTCTATGAAGCTCATATCCTGAAATAAATAATATTTTATTAAGACAATCTTTTAAAAATCCAGTATAAAAGCATCCACAAGCCTCACTCACCTTGATTGAACCATTTATATTCAAAAGAGTAGAGACTATACAGCAAACATATATGTATAAAACACAAAACTCGTCCTAAATAAGGTATATAACTTATAAAAGTTCCCTGCAATGTAAACCAGACTTTAAGTACATCCAGAAACATAATTATTAAGGCATATAAGCTCACCTGAAGTATAAATAAAGTTTGTATGATTAACGAAAACACAACATCAGCCAATAATAAAGAAATTGACGGAATGAGGGTCCTTTTGCCTCTTCGAAACTCGTAAGTAGCGTCAGCGATATCTTGAAACCAGAAGAAATTGAAAATTTTGGACAGCAGGAATAATGGAACTACCCAAATGCAGGAAAAGATCCATGACAATATTGAATTTATATATGTCCAAATTCCAGGCTCAGTAAAGTGTGTTATTACCAATTTTAAAAACGGTAACAATAGATTATAGAAGAATAGAATGCTCAATAGGAACAAGCCACCATTTAGAGCACAGCATTGAAAGACCCTAAATGCCACATTTGACTTTTTCCTTAAAAAACAGACAAAATTATAATATTTCTAAATACGCAATTTCCATAAACGTGAGTATTGCTTACTCTTTGCTTTTTTCCTTTTCTTTGTTTGCCTTCTTCTTGGCTGATTGCTGACTATTTTGATCATTTACCTTCTCTAGCTTCTGATTTATCGTTTTATCAATATAAAATATTACGTAAATATTCTTTATGGAATCTATAAAACCGTCAAAAATTGAGTAACTCATTATCTGGAAGAGACGATAAGAGACAATCGTTAATTATTATTTTCTAGGAAACTTTTCATACAAAATTCAATCACAATTTTAAAAATTAATGAAATTCACCAATTTTCACTTACTTTTAAACTTTCCATTATTAATTATGTTGATTTGTGTCTGCTTAAAGTAATTAATTCGTTGTCAAAGAGTCTTAATTTGTGCTAGAAAAGGATAAAATTAATTATTTTAAATGTAAACACAACGAATGTTCATTTTGAAAATCAAGTTTGTAAAGCCTCACTTGATGATTTGTGATTTAAAGCGCTTTCAAAATTTAACGGATTTCAAAAATTCAAAACTAGTGCCAGAAATTTATTTTTGCATTAATTTCGGTTATTTATTGAAATTTTAAAGAAGCTTGAATGAATTTTAGGACAAAGTGCAAGTATTAGCAAGCAAGTCATAGAGTAATAAGCTATAGATTATACGAGTTATCATAGTAGACATTTTTTAAACGCTATACGAGTTGTAAAATATAAACAACAAAAGATTTTGACATAAATTCAACTGATTAAGCTATTTAAACCTACTAAAATTTGATCTAAACTACATAATAACTAATTTTAAGGATGTCTGAAGACGATGATGGTGAATATTTGATAAGTGAACAGCAGGAAAGGTGAGAATTGAGGAAATTACGTTTTATTTTAAAAACTTCTTAATTACACTTCATTTTAGCATATCCGAGAGTCTAAATAGTGATTATTCAATTCCAACATTATGGTATCACGGAGAAGATATACCCTCAAACAATGAATTGATATTTGAAGAGCATATACCGATATTTCTAGAAGAGGAAGTTGTGACTGAAGGATGCTTTGAGAACGTAGTTCCAACAACAAATAATACGTTGACGGAATCAAAGCCCAAAATTAATAATTTAACATTAAATCGTGATTTATTAAAAGTTAATCATAGGGATGTTCAAAGTCAGTCTGGATCTCGAACTCCACATACACCAAAAACACCATCAAGTGCAAATTTTAAGCCATTTGTATTGAATGAGCATACTATGAGGATATTTAAGAATAAGATAAAAGCAATTCAAAAGCGTAGAGCGCAAGCATTAGCACGAGAGAAAAAACAACGTCCGAAAAAGATAAAGCCAGCAATGAATGCAACAAGCAATAAAGTATCGATTAGTAATAAGAAGCAAAGTTCTCAAGTTCCTGTTCCTGTAAAAAAGTCCGAAGTTATCGAGTATATTAATTATAAGCCGAAGCCAGCAGTTGATCCGAAGAATTCAGGACAGATATTAAGAATGGAGAAGGTTGATAGTGACGATATTGAAGTAGATATTTTATCGAATTCAGAAGACGATGATAATGTTGTGAATAATGTTGTGATAGGATTAGCCGATTTGCCTGAAGGAGACGAGAGTGGTGAGATGTCTGTCGATGATCCAGATAGTAGTTATACAACGGAAGTAGTTCCTGTGGAACAAGATGAAGAAAAACTTAACGAATTAAGAGAAAATGATGAACAAACTTTTATAGAAATTGATCAAACGGAAATGCCATGTAGTGAGGTGATTTTAGATCCACAAAGTGTCAATTCAATTGAGAAATTTATGATGTCTGAATTCTTTAATGGAAGTCCAACACGGACGCCTGAAAGATATCTCAAAATTCGTAATCATATAATTAATATGTGGAATCAATGTAAACCGAATTATGTCTCAAAAACTACCGCTAGAAACGGCTTAAGAAAGTGTGGAGATGTGTCAGCAATAGGTCGTGTACATTTATTGCTGGAAAATACTGGTGTAATTAACTTTGATTGCCCAGAAGTTCAGTACATATTACCATTAAAAATATTGTATGGCATATTTCAGCAAAGTATAAGGAACAAGAACCAAAGTTATATGAGAAACAAGAGTGACTATGCATCAGATAATTCAATGATGCAGCAACAAGAAAGCTCATCAGATTCTATGGTGAATAGGATCAAATCAAGGACGCAGTCTAAAACACAATTCGAATTGATTAAATGTCAAAGATTCTCAAAAGATAACATTGCACCTTTTGAAATTTCAATCACTTTATCCTGCCTATTATGTCTATACTTTCATGCACTTTCGTCTAAATTAGAAATTATGGGATTCCTCGGTGGACATGTCGATAAAAGTAATGGAAAAAATAAGATTTACTTGAAATGTTACAAACCCTGCCGCACTTCCATTCAAACCCCAATTAGTGCTGAGATGTGTCCCATTTCTCAAGTTGAACAGTCATCTGATATAACAGATTCTGGATATGAGCTATTAGGGTGGTTCCATAGTCATCCAAGTTTTCCTGCGATTCCATCAAGAACTGATTTAAGGACACAAAATGAAATTCAGATGCAATTCGCACCGAATAATCCGTTCATTGGTTGCATTTTGTCGTGCTTACAACCAATGGATTTTAAGTGAGTATTAACGGTCTTTTTTTATTTAAATTTTATGAAATTCTTTAAATTCTACAAAACCGTTATTTTTCTTTATTTGTTTTTAGATGCATTTACATGCAAAAGGACACGGCATATGAGCTGCAAGTAGATATTGAGAAGGATTATTCCGGTTTTAAGGAAGACATCGAAAGCGTTTCAAAATTGATTGATCGTGGAGAGAATTATGAGGAAACGATTCAAAGGGTAGGTTTTTATGCTCGATTAAGGCAATTCATTATTAATGAAAACCTTTATTGTGCTCTTTACAGTTCATTAGCTCAGGAAATAATCTACTAAGAGAACTTTCGATTCCAGAAAGTATTGAAAATATCCTACAGAATGAAATTATTTGATTTTTGTGTGCTAAACAAATGTGCAAACAGTATTTTAAGTTTTTAATGCAATAAAATTAGAAATTATATTGATAAGATGAAGATAATGGTCTAATAATTCACTTTAGACGACTTTTTTGTGCAAGGATAACAATTGTTTATATCAAACTGCCGTACATACATGACAAAAACGTGACATTTGTAAGGTTCACTAGCAATTTTTTTTATTATTTTCTCATGAAAATTCGTGAGAAAATTTTCTCATTTTAGTTTATCGCACACCGTATTGCAAGATAAATATAAATGTTTCGTCTGTGAATTTTTTAAAAGTGTTAATATTTTTTATTTTCATCAATAAAAGGTAATTTGAGTGCCTCAAAAGTGATTGGAAAATTTTCAGGACATTTTTATTGGATTGATTTGTGAAAATAATAAAATTATAGATATGTAGGAAATAAAGTGAAAAAAAATGGAAAAAAGTAAGAAAAGAAAAAAAGTGCAAAAATCCCACTTCTAGCAAATCTATTTTTTGAAGCAGCAAAATATGTCTCGTATTTATAAAGACTACCTCAAATTTCATACAACAAACTTATAAATAATTCTGGCTTTTTGAAATAATAAAGGAACTGCATCTTTTTTTAAAAATAATCTAGAACTAGTGAAAATTTTATCATTAGCAGTAGTCAGACTGTCTAAACATTTTTTTTCACGTCCTTCGTAGACCGACAAACTTAATTCATGGAAATTCGTTCCTTTTTAACGCTCTTTAATAATTAAAGTATACGATTCGATTGATTAAGTGTACATTCACACTGATTATAAGTTTAAGAGTGCGAGAAAATAGGCACAGAATACTTTTTAGTGAGAAGTAAACTTATTATTATCTCATATGATTTGGCAAAAGTCCAATAAATTAAATAGAAATTTTTGTCTATTCAATCAATTCCTATCTCTCGTCGCTTCCATAATCCATCACAGTTAATATTAAGTCCATCTGTAAACACCATTAAATTGCTTATTTATAAACTTAGTGCCCTGTTGTATGGAAAATCAGTTGGAATGGACGTCCAGAGAACTAAGCATGTTATACGAATTAGCTGGAAAGCCAAGGAATTAATACTCTTTTAAATTTGAATTTCTCATTGCCGTTAAAATTTCAATTATTGCTTTATTATTACTGACAAATGCACTCGCTATTTACCGTCCATAACTTTTCTTAGGGCTGAATAATCCAACTTTATGAATAAAACCAGCATAAAATATGCATAATTGTTGAAATACTTTCGTTTCTAAAAGAGATTTTTTTTTCCTTTTCATACTTTCTGCCTCAAAGGACATACTTGGAATTATCATCATCTTCAGTGACTCTGTGTGTGTAGATAGTAACTTATTAAAATAAACAAGGCACGGAATACTTATGTCAAAAAGACTCTAAAACTCTATGAAATGTGTGAAGCAAGTGCATGGAGATAAGAAAGAGTTATAAAGTGGAAGTGTAACCGAAAAGCTTTAGAAAAGAATATAAAAAGTGCTTACAATTAAAGACTGAGTCATTAATTCTGTGAGGCTAGTGTTAAGTGAAGCATGACTTCTATTATTATGGCATCGGAAAGTATAGAATTTGATCCAGGTAAGATGACACTTTTAATTATGCATTGATTTTTTAAGGCACATTTTGCACGGTTTAGAAACACGTTGTCCCAGTTTGCAACGACGATTCATTCAAAGTTTGCTGAATGAGAATAATTCCTTAATATTTATACAGTTGAATGTGTCACTGAGAAAAAACTATTGTTTTTTAATTCCATCTCCCAAGTTTGCTTTCATCATTATTTTTTTACATCCTTAAGAAGAAGGATCAAACCTCATCCAATGTTCTTTTGTTTCCAGTAGATTTTACTTTTTTGTTTCTTAATCCTGTGGTTTGGCTTAAGGCTATTCATGATGAATGAGAAATAACAAGTTATGGATGTGAGGAACTGGATTAAAGATTTAGTTTTGATGTAAAAAGTCAAAAAAAAATGAAAATTTACCGACTTTTTAAAGTTCAAAAAAGTTCTACTGTCCATAAAAAGATCTACCAAGAAAATTCAAATAAAACCGTTATAATTTATAAAAATAATTGCAAGGATATATCCTTAAAAGAAGCCAAAATAAGCACACAAAAACAATAATGAATTAGATTATTGACAAAAGAACAGAAATAAGCAGGACAAACCCAGTAATGACGAAAGAATAGAATACAAACAAATCCCACAACCTTGATTTATTATAAATCAATATTTTTCGTAACTGAATTGAACTGAAAATTCATTGGAATGACTAAAAGCACATATCTTGCAATCATTTTATTATGTTGAATCGATCCAAATGATTTATAAAAAAGGATTTTCTCACATAAATAAATTATACCGAGGGATAAATGTATTTTATTTATATCTATATAGATTGTCTCAATAAGTTGCCAACTCAATGATTTTGATTTTTAGTGCACCGAAAAGGTCAAATATTTCGATTTTCAATCCTTTATCGTAGAAAGTACACAAAATAATTTTTTTTATATGTCAATCATATGGCACTTTATATCTGTAGCTATGTCATATTTTTTTTTTTTTTTTTTTGATAAAAGCGAAAGGAAAATCGATACAAATTTATTTGATTATTTTTCTCACGAAAAACTTAATATTTTTCCTTTTTTTACATTTCTTCTATTCTATTTTCAACAGACTCAGACTGTAAGTTGTTGATTTTATACAATAAATTTATGTTTCTTTTAATATTATTTATTGCACATGATTCTTATAAAAAAGAAAATGTACAAGTATTAATAAGTAAAATAACAAGTATCAGAGTCACTTTGTACAGTTGATTGAACTGCATTTTTTTAAATGTTATTATTAATTTATTTTATGTAAATTCACGTGATTAAAAATTCGTGACTTCAACATGACATGATGTCATTGTCAGAATATTAATATTGAGTTCTTAATTATTGGAAGCAATAAGAGAGAAAAATTATCGCACTTATTTAACTTTTTCGCATTAACATTCGTTGTTTAATTAATACACTCTGGAGATTCATTTATTATATATGCTGTGAAATTTACTGAAGCTAATTTATCACACTCGCGTTAAGTTTTGAGAAGCTTGTCTCAATTGTGGTAGATGGAATTATTAATATTAATTTAGGGGTTCTTTAGAAGATTTTTAAGAAATTGGAAAAATCAACTGGAAGTATTGGAAAGTCATAGAATTTTTTACACTCTCAACAAAAAGTTCACTGGAATGAACTGGAATATTCCATAACTTGTTGGAAATCAATAAATCATTATCAATTTATTTCCAGTCATTCTTCCAAAATCTTCCAATGAATCTCTCAAATTTAAATTAACCGTTATCTTTTTAAACTCAAAACATCCCTGAAAACCACTATTCAATCCAATTTAAAACCAAGATAGAATTTTTATTAAAGATTCTGTCTTGCAGCTTCTCAATGCCTCATAAAAATTCCACAAAAACCTTCGAGGTCATCTATGGGCATGAAAATATAATTGAGCACATAAAAAAAACATTTAATTTCCATTCTCAAAGCTGCTGTAAAGTAAACTTCTTCCGATTGTTTATTTACTTTTCATATTTGTTTACTTCCATAATTTATAAACTCAAAGCTTCAATATATCCTCATTTTTCTTTCGTTACAAATTCATTTTTTGCTCTTTATTCTTTCAATTTCTGAAGCATCCATCCTGTAAGTTATAAGAACCAGAAAGTATAATTAGAATCGCTATTTGTCAACAAATGAGCAACCCACTCCATAATCAAGCTCAAATGTCATGTTCTTTCCATGCTATTATGAGTTTATGCTCATAATCTGTACTTTAGACTTTGATTGATGGCTTTAAAGGTTATTGTACTGATTTTGATTAAAAAAGTTTAAAATAGCTAGAAGTCATATATTGTTCCTAAAATAACACGTAACTTATTTTATGCAGCACACAGTGGAAAAAATGTTAAAATTGAGTATAAATGTGTAATTAGAGAGCTTACATAAAGTTACAGTTGAGTTATGCAAATTTGTCAGCAAATTTGATTTAATTATAAAGGTTCACATTTCTCCCTCACCAAAAATGTCACAAATTAAATTATTTATAGGAAGCAGACGAAAAAAAGCACATGAAAAAAATTTATGGAAATGGGAGGAAGGAGAACACAATGATTCAGATTCGGAAAAAATGTTCAAAAATTCCTTGTGCACAATATTTTTTCGACACATTAGAAAATTGAAAGTTTTTGTTCATTTCTCTTGATTTGATTCTTTTAGCATCTTCTACATAATGTTTTTGTTCATTGCTCAAAAAATCAGTAGTTAATATGCTCCATATGATATATGTGCATGATCAAATTTTGTATGAAAATTTATGTAAACTTTGATCGCAAATATCTCGAAAACGGCATCAAACGGCATGTCCTTAGTAATATGGGAGATAGATTTAAGCTTAATTAATTGATTTATATAGGTTTCAAAGAGGTCTTTGGAAGACTTTTTAACTTATGAATAGTTTAAGTTTTGTAAAAATACTCAGATTTCAATTGCATTTTTAAGACTTAATAAGCAGTTTTCTTTTGATTTGGTAGTTTTAATATGCAAATCTAAGCTTAACGTAGCTAACAACAGCTAGCAAGATAAGGAAATAACAACTTAAAGCAGAGAAAATCAAAGTTTTTTTTTCATATACAAAATGTAAACAAATTTCTGTTGAAAATAAATTTAAGATTTCTGGAGTTAGACATCAAATTGAAACGAGATATTTTCACTGAATATGCCTTAAGTTAAGATCTTTAATCTGGCATTTAAAAGATGTAGTTTAATTAATATGTCATTTTTGAATTTTTGAACATTTTTTTCCGAATCTGAATCATTCTCGAGAAGAAGTAGCCAAATAGCATAAATTCATCTTCATGTAGACAATGTATCTTGCGTATATATTTTTTTTTGTTACTGCTTGTTTTATTCCTTCTCGGATCCGTGTTTTTGACAGATTATGTAGACATGTAGCCATATTCTGGCCATGGCTTGAAAGAAATTCAGTCTAGAATTTTGTTTAGACCTGAACATTTTGGTGGGAAAGATTAAGGACATCTAGTCCAGGCCTAAAGTTGTCTGACAGCCTAAGTATCTCTTTCAAAGCACTATCATGCCATTATTTATTAAACTATTGACTATGCTAGACGTTTCTACGTCAAGATTTTGTCTAGACTAGACTAAAATCCAAAACAACAACACTGTATCATGTCCATCAAACAGGAAATAAATATCATGATGAATTAATTTTTATGGTACTTGTGATCGTGATGAAAACTGATTTGTCATCAATATTTGATTTCCCTTGAATGCTTATATCCAACAATTTTTGTTCCCTCATAACTTTTATTCTGTATCCATCTATACTGTGTGATTGAAAAAAAAATACGTATTCAAATGTAATGAGAGACATTTTCCGACTTTTTGTTTATCTCTACACTGTCATCACAGTATTGATTTTCATGTATAAATACACATTTGGTATCGACTGACTACAACAACAGCATAATTAAAATTAGTTAACCCAATTTCATTTCATTGTATATTCGTGTCTCATATCAACATAATATCCTTATTTTCTCTTGTTCCTTTCTCTTTATTAATTCTTTATTTGCGCAGTTTTATCGAAATTGCTCACATCGCTCAACGAAGCAGATAATAAATTATCAGGAGAGCAGGAACTTCAATTTCTTCAGACATTATTACAATCGAAAGAAATTAATGCACTTGTTAATGTTCATCACAAAGTTGCAAAACTTGGAAGGGATGAACGTATTGCTCCCATTCTTTCTGCATCGATGCAGGTACATACATCCTTTATTGCTGTGGATTTATCACTTGTTTGTTTGTCAGCTGGCTCAATTTGGGGGGGGGGGGGGGGATCAGCAAGATCAGTAAGAAAAAAACAATAGAAATCCCTGTAAATCCATTGTTCTTTTTTAAAAAATAACCGTTAATTTTGGACGTTATAAGTGAACGACCCCTTCAATAATCCTAAAATTAAAACTTCAAGCCACAAAATCAAAAAGCTTTAAACCCATAAAGAAAATTTCAATCATAGAATTTCGTAAGCAAAACTGACCTTCAGCCATTTTCGACGAACAAACAAATGCTAATCCACTAGTGTATACTTAATTATATATATTACCATCATCAACATACATTTTTCTAACAGGTTGCATTAGAAGTATTAGAATTGCTCGCTCCTCGTTGCCATATTTCACCGTTATGTAGAGAATTATTTCATTTGTTGCAGAAACCACATTTACAGGTGAATTTTATGTCCTGTTCTATTCCTTCATGTCAATAATCGTTTATATGTCTACTGTCTATAAAATGTAGAGTTTAATGTGTGCACATGACGCGGTAGCTCAGAAAGATTTCTCACCACATCTTCCCGAATTGTAAGTATTTACAATGTGCACATTCAATTAATTACATATATTTTATTTATTCGTCTGATAGGCCTGTTGAAATGGATGAGGATGAAGAGACTATAAAGATTGTTCAACTAGTCAAGAGTAATGAACCATTGGTGAGTTATAATTCTTATTTCTTGCGTAAACTCTTACAAATTATTATGGAAGCATAAGATGCATATTACTATATTATTATACATTTTCTCTCCAGTTCCTTATTATGGGGAAAAGTAAAGTCATAAATTTATTTATTTTATGATTCTGATTATTTTTTTTTGCACGCAACCACTTTAACTTATAAGTTATTTCATAATAATCTGTGAGGTATATTAACTACTACCTATAATTTCACTTCATTTCCTTACGTTCCAAAAATTTACATCTTTTTACATAATTAATAAGTTTATGGAAAATTCTCTCGAATCGCCTCTTTTGTTTATTGTTTTAAAATTCACTTCCTCCGTGCTTTAATACAGGGATTTATTTAAGTTCAAGGCCAATTTTCCATTTCATTAATTTTTTTTTTGATTTTTTTTTCAATGCCACAAATCTTGTCACTACTATTTTTTTAATACATACTTCCTACCTTCCTATAATATAACTTATGAATATTTTTCAACAATTAAACTAACTCTATATTTTGATATAAAGAGCGCTGCACATTCTCAAAGTGCGGAACCGATTGTAGTAAGTATTTTGCTGTTTAGGCCTAGATAACATTAAAGTCGGAGATGTTGTATGTATATTATTTGCTGCATATCGTTCAATTATGATTTTTAATTCACCAAAAAACCGTTAATTTATTATTTGAAAAATCATCACCAAACCTAGCTCGTGAAAAAATTACCAAAATGTTGTAATGCCTATTTTATTTGGCTGGCTGAAGCTTGATCTCAATTATTGATGTACATAGAAGTCATAGATGCAACTTTAAATCACCCACAGACCAGAATCCCCACGCAAATTTCCACGAAGCACCCACAAACGAAAATCACGGGTTTCCAAAACTACCACTTGAAAATGTATGTGGTGTTTCTGGAAAACAGTTTTTTTTATAAACACCACATATATTTCCAAGTGGTGGATAAAATCACACGTGTATTTTTATTCACCACATACAATTGCAAGTGGTGTTTCTGGAAACACATGTGTTTCATATTACCAGAAAATTTTGTCTGTGGGCGTTTTGGAGATCAGTGTAATATTTTTGAAAAAAGTGAACAAAAATTAGGTTTTATTCTCATTTTTAAATCCAAGCTTAATTTTTTTATTTTAATAAAATATTTTTCATGATTGAAACACAATTATAATAAAATACTTCATAAAAAAAGCTTTTTCAAAAACTACTTTTTTCGCGTGGACCAAAAAGGAAAAAATAACTTTTCTTCTTGGTTGCAAAGAATTTGGTTTTAAATTTTCAGATTATATTTGATAAGTTTTTATATCCTAGTCAATATCGTTCACAAAATTTCTGAATTTCTAATCAACAGAAACTGTTGATTTGAAAGAAAAAAAAATTGAGAAATTGCAAACAAAAATTTTATATGAAGGGATTATAAAATCCCATTAAAAATCTTTCATACAAGAGATTTAAGGGCAATTCTTTGGATGAGTGGAATTTAAAAAAATGAGCTTTCATAATCCAATGTCAATGAGTTTTGTGTCAATAAAATGTTTTCTTTAATATCATATTACTGTGAAGGCATAATAAGCCAAAACTTTCATAGATCATAAAACATAATTAATTCTTTCCAAGTGATCTATTGAAATGTTACAACTCACCCAAATTAAGTGAAAAATTGAAAAAATATGTTTGAAAATTTTGTATTTTTTCACGGATTAAGACAAAAAAAAGCTTTTTTATAACTCGATGACACAAGGAAATTTTCAAAGAATTGAAATATTTCATTAATTAATGACTTAAAGCACACAGAAAAGCAACCTAATTAAAGATTTTTGCCTGTTCTATAACTCAGTAAAAGTTATTCAATGTGGATATCAATAGTTTGCTCTAATTTTCGATTCTTCGGATGATGAAAATTAAAATTCCGATTTCTGTCATCGAGTTATTGACTAAAGAATCCAAATAACTTAATTAATACATAAATTAGAAGTATATAATATCAAAAGTAGTGTACATTTTAGATTTTTACATCAATAAGAATCATAAAATATGTGTCTCTTATGGGAAAAATCAATAAAATTACGATTTTTTGCTGAAAATTTTCCAAAAGTCATCCAAAGAATTGCCCTTAAATCAAAATCCCAGAATCGAGAAAACATTCACTTGAGTAAAATAATTTAAATCAAAAACGTTTTTTATCTCGATTTAAATCAAAATCAAAAATAAACTCAGAAATTTTGATTTAAATCGCAAAAAGTCTTCCCATCAAGCCTACAGTATATAATGGGATCCGAGCCACTTGCAAAATAAATATTTTAAATAGAAGAATATTAATTCAATTTATATACAAGTGCAACGCAAAAGCGTTTATTTTCCCAATCCGTGAAAAAATTATTTCAAAAATATAAAATTTCTGTTGTTGTTTTTGAAAATATAACAAAAAAAAAAGATTTTAATCTGTTTTTTATAAAGTGTAAGTTAACTTTTATTATTAAGTAATTTAATATTTTGAGAATAGTTATAACACATTTTTGATGAATTCAACTCATTCATGAATTGACCCATGTGTTTTAATAATGGAAAATATTTTATTTAAATAAAAAAATTAAGCTTGGATTTAAAAATGAGAATAAAACCTAATTTTGTTCACTTTTTTTCAAACTTTAAAAAATATTACACTGATCTCCTAAAAGCCCACAGACAAAATTTTCGGGTGATATGAAACACATGTGTTTCCAGAAACACCACTTGCAATTGTATGTGGTGAATAAAAACACACGTGTGATTTTATCCACCACTTGGAAATATATGTGGTGTTTATAAAAAAAACTGTTTTCCAGAAACACCACATACATTTTCAAGTGGTGGTTTTGGAAACCCGTGATTTTCGTTTGTGGGTGCTTCGGGGAAATTTGTGTGCGGACTCTGGTCTGTGGGTGATTTAAAGCTGCATCCCAGTCAGATTGATAAATATTAGATGTTGTAAAATAGATAATTAGATGAAACAAATTTTACCCCGAACCATAAATTATATCAAAATTTGAATTAATAAAAACCGTTAATAATTCAAATTTTAAAAATACGCTAGAAATCACTGCTAAGTCATCCATAAACTATGACTCATCGATTTGTGTCTGCTGTATTTTTTTAACGTCTGTCATTGTATGCTTCTTTTCTTCATTCACTTATTTAGCACATTATGCAAATTTATGTAAAAGGAAAGAAGACAAACTTTATTTGCATTAAAAAAAATAAGGACAAAAAAAATCCTCTCTGTTTCCTTTGTAAACTTCCATTCACTTTTCGTTTCCTTTGAGCACGTAAAGCTATTTTTTGAGTTTTATTTTGCCTTAAGCACACGAAATTAAGTTATGTCGCCAAAGAAAATTTATTGTAAATGACACAAGAAAACTGTTTTTCTTTATCATTTCATTAGATGGTTCCGATAAGGCTTTTTAAAGAAGCGTAGTTGAATTAATCTTAACTTGTACTATAAACATATTTTTAGGGTGCCACAATAAAAACGGATGAAGACACTGGCAAAATTGTAATAGCAAGAATATTAGTTGGTGGAGCAGCAGATCGTTCTGGCTTAATTCATGTTGGAGACGAAGTTATAGAAGTGAATAATGTAAATGTTGAAGGCAAGACACCCTCGGAGGTTTTAGCTATCCTAGTGAGTTTGAATATAAAAAGTGTGTTTGTGTGTGCCTCATATTGTGACTAACATGCTTCCTCAATTGATTGTATATTTTTAGCAAAACTCTGATGGCGTCATCACTTTCAAATTAGTTCCGTCTGATAGCAAATATGGCCAAAGAGAAAGTAAAGTTAGAGTGAAAGCATTTTTCGATTATAATCCTGAGAATGACCCATACATACCTTGCAAGGAGGCTGGTTTATGCTTTCAAAAAGGTGACATCCTTCACATTGTATCACAGGTAAGGAATAATAAAATATCCACAACCATCCTTAAATTAAAAATTCCATTCAAATTCACAAGGATGATGGATTCTGGTGGCAAGCTAGGAAAGAGGTTGACAAAACTACTCGTGCTGGTCTAATTCCATCTCGAGCATTACAAGAAAGACGTATCATACACGAGAGAACACAAATGGCTAGAGAAATGAGTGGAAGTGAATCAAAAAGTGAGGAACTGCAAACTCTTTTACTACCTTTTCTTTACTTTATTCTAATTCTAATACTAATGCTATTTCCTGTAACCATTTTCATAATGTCTATGACACGAAATTTCATCATTACTCATTCATTACTAATTATCAAAATACGAATACATACATACACGATACTAACTCATGACTGACCTTAAAAAAGGCTCTTGTACTTCATCTATCTGCATGACCCCGCCTGGTAGTCCTTATCCATCAAATAGTTCATGTCGTGGACCTAAAACTAAAAAAATTATGTATGATTTAGCTGAAAATGATGACTTTGATCGCGAGATGATAGCCACATATGAGGAAGTAGCGAAACTATATCCACGACCTGGAATTTATAGGCCAATTGTCTTAATTGGTGCACCAGGTGTTGGTAGAAATGAATTAATCAAACGATTAATAGCTCGAGATCCTGAGAAATATCGCTGTCCAGTTCCTTGTGAGTATTATTGATTATTTATCTCACGATTTTACGATGATGCTTATGTTGCTTGATGATTAATAGACACAACGCGACCAATGAAAAGTGGAGAAGTGCCGGGTAGGGAGTATTTATTCGTATCACGTGAGAAAATGGAAGCAGACATACAGACAAGTCTATTCATTGAGCATGGCGAGTTTAAAGGACATCTTTATGGAACATCTGCTGATAGCGTTAAAACTATTATTAATGCTGGTGCAGTTTGTATAATGAATCCCCATTATCAGGCTATAAAGGCTTTAAGAACGCCACAACTTAAACCATACATAATTCATGTAAAGCCTCCGCTATTTGATGAGCTTAAAATGACACGATATTCTGCCAAAGCTATATCAAGTTTCGATGAAACAAGCTCCAGAGGATTTACGGTATTAAATTCTTTGATTTTATTCTTTTACGGATATGATTTATCTAAAGTTTCTTATTGTTCACAGGATGACGAGTTTCATGAAGTTTTGAGGTCTGGCGAGCGTATTGAATTCCTTTACGGACACTTTTTCGATGAAACTATCATCAATGAGGATTTAGAGACGGCATTTGAGCAGCTTGTTGAAACAGTCACTCGTGCCGAGAATGAGTCTTTATGGTAAGTACTGCACAGACTTTATCTTTTAAAGTGATTCAAGAACTTTTCATCCATTACAGGGCACCAGCATCATGGGTACAATAGAAAGCTTTATCATAAAAGTAATGTTTCTCGTGTGAATCTTCTCTCTCTTTCTTCTATTCTGTTCTTAATCAATGGTGCTTTTACTTGATGAACAAAAGAGAAAAATCTCCCATTTTTAGTCAAATTTTATGTTTCCATCCTTCCTTATAACTTATATATTATTTTTATACATTTAGGAATTTGTTTTTTAACCTTTCTAGATAATTTTTATGCTCAAATTTATCTTAATTTTCACTGCCTCCATTATCTAATGACTCTTTTATTGAGGAATTTAATGTATAACAAAAGAAGTTGTCAAGAATTTTCGTTGATTCCTTTCGTAAAAAAAATACATAATTCATGAGGTTGGTTTGGAATTTATTGATGGAATTTACAGAAGCGATTATCTCACTCAATATTCAGATGCCTAAAATATTCACACACACACACACCTGAGAGTCCTTGCATATTTTACGAGGACAAGAGTAAACACATTTGGGTGTTTATTTTGACTCAAACTGTCGAATGTTTTGGTGAAAATTTTCATTTTCCTTGAACATGGTTTTGGTATATCTAGCTTGTGTATATTGGTAAATAGCTACGATATTCTTCACAGATGGCTTTTATCTTTAATACTGTGTATTCCTTAAGAAAGTGGTTTTTTGGATATAAACTTCGAGAACTTGTTTAGTTTCAAAATTGCATGATACTTTGTGAACTTTTTGATAGAAATCTTAGAAAATACATAAGCCAAGACATAAGTCTGCCTAAAAGTGAGAAGGAATCGACACAAATCGATGAAAATAGGCCTAGATTATGAAAAAATTTCCAATTTCATACATCAATTATTGCCAAAATAACCTTCTTTCCATCAAAAAGTTCAACCAACTTCTATTTATTAACTATAGTAAAGACTAAAAGTCGTTCACTTATGGCATCCTCACAAAATTAGGGTTTTTAAACTCGTCTTTATCATTAAAATTTTAATTTAAAAACATTTCTTTTGTTTAAAGTGTCACACAACTCTAGTTCCCCCTCTAAATGATGGATGTCATATGTGAATGAGTCATAAAAGGATATCCTGATTTAAAAATTTAACACATTTAGGTGCCATAGATAAACATCCAAAAAAAAAGAAAAACAATTGAAATTAAAAGTTTTAATGAACTTATTTTTTCCCAACAAAAAAATTATGAAAAAATATATTATAAAAAATTTCTAAAATTTCTCCCTACTCCATCGCTTTTGATCCAAAGAAATTAAAGTTTCTGAGAAAGATATAACAAAAAATAAATTATGGATAAAAACCAAAACGTACCTTTTCAAGATTTAAAAACTTAATAAATAAAAAAATAGAAATTACTTTTTAACCTTATCATAAATTGATGAAAATTTTAATAGTTTTGATAATGCATACGATGAGAACATAACTAGTTAACCCATGCTTTAAACAACCAAAATTTTACCATTTTTGCATTTCTAAAAATTCATTTCATTCTCTAGATAAAATTTTATTTTCAACTTTATTGAATTGTATAAAAAAGAAACTTGTTGATTAATTTATAGAAGAGATTTAATTATTCTAATGTGAATTGTGCAAGTATGTAGTTATAATTTGTCTTTGTATAAGCCAAAAAATAATAAAAAGAGAAATCAACTTAAAAAGTTTGTAGTGTTCAGAGAGAATAAAAGAAAGAAAAAAAAATATATTTGAAAAGAATCGAGCATGTCTTTTTAATTTTCACGAATTATTTGTGGCTTAAAGTCCAATTTACTGGCTTTGGCAAGTCCTTCTGCATAAATTGGTAATCTCTGGCACATTCTAAATGTATGAAGATCTCTAGATTGACGGCATTGATTTAAATCAACTTCACAGATTAAAATTCCATCATCATCACGAGACATTCCTGGTGAACGACATCCTTCAGGCGTAGCTAGATAAGTCGATCCATAAAATGGCCCCATATCTTTATGTGCTTTTGTGCCGTCAGCTGATGTAAATTCATTTGGAAAAATTTCAGTTCCTACACGGTTTATCTAGTAAATTAAATAATTAAAACAATTATGTTAATTTGATAAATAAATTTGTTATGCAAATTAGCAGTAATTAGATAATTACAGTAACAGTGAAGAAAGAATTGGCTACGGCTGCATTACGACCCTCAATGAACCACATTCTGTCACTTAGACTTCCCCCAATTTCAGCACTTGGATTGAAAACAATTTCAGCTCCATTAAGTCCAAACATCATCCAATTTTGAGCATGATGACGACCATAGCAAATGTTAATAGCAATTTTCCCGAATTGGGTTTCAAAGACAGGATGTCCTGTATTGCCTTCAAAATAATATGTCGACTCATTAAAGTCACCAACACGAGGAATCACTTATATCTCTTATTAGGATCACTGCATGAAGATACTAACTTAAATGGGCCATATAAAGAATTTGTCCAGTACTGCATATTTCGATTATGGATATGTGCTGTATAATTCAATACCTCATAGCCACTACCGTAAATGTGCACGTGCTTTTTTATGAAATCTGCTGCTTGCGAGTATTCTTTATCGATTTCTTCTGATGTCATAGCAGCCGTGAATTCAATTTTCATCACCTCATTATCATTGTCATCAAAAACTTGACATCTTTTACGTTTTGGTGCTTTTTTTATATTTTGTTCTCGTTCTGCTGCCTCGTAAATTTTAAATCCACTTATACCAGTAATTAATAAATCCTCATGTAAGCACGTTATGTTGTATACAAACATTTCATCAATTGAGTAGCCATTTAACACCAGAATATCGTTCAATGTTTGTCGCTGATAAGTCTTCAGAGACCAAGTATCGTTATTATTTGTTGCCAAAAATTTAAGCTGTTCATTACATTCTGTTCTCATATATGCGTACACTTTATTTTTGTTTCTGCTTATTAATATTCCATTCATCAAGTTATCTGCATTAAAATCACAACGTATGTTTATTTTTGCTGCTCCATATGTAAATGTTTTACATTGAACATCCCTTAATACGCGATCCCAAGATGACTCTTCACTGTATTTATTCGTTAAAATAGCAAATAATTCATGTATTAAATCCAAATCTTTGCTGGCTAAATAAAATTGAATTATACATGCTAATGACATTAGGCATTCCTTAAGTTTCTCATCCTTGTACATCTGTAAATTAACTCGAATGTTATATTGCGAAATCATTCCTCCTATTGTTGTGTCAATTGTATAAACTTTGTATTCCTGATCCAAGCATTTTTTCCTCAAAAACTTTTCTACTGCCTTTTCGGACATAAATTTCATCATCACTGTATAATTTTCGTCACATTTGCTTTCGATAGCAAGGAATTTCTCATTATATACACTCTCAATGCGCTCACAATTTATTACAAAAATATTCGCTTGCTTATTTTGCAACACTTGCACTTCATTTCCAGATAAATTAAATGATAAAACATTTCGATGCGCTGCAGTAACATGGAAGCAAGTTTCATTTAACGAACAATCAGTATCGTTAATAATGTTGACGTAATAAGCAGTATCCACAATTTCGCATAGCATTAATGGAGTTACTTCATTCAAGTCCTCAACTTTCATTATTTTGCAGATTGCTGACACAGCCATTTTGGTCGTGTTTTTAATAGATTCAAAGCATTCATTAAATTTAAAATTTTTTTTCTCATTCCACTTCCATCTATTTAGTGCTATAGATGTTTTTTCCTCAATCTAAAGTTAAATGAAGAAAGTAGATGAATTATTTAATTTCATAAAGTGCCAATCAATACTTACAGTTATACTGTGTTTTTTGGATATTTTTTCAATTTTCTTCTTCGTAATTTGCTGTAGAAGGAATGGAAGTTCTCTGATCAAGTAGGAATGGCACTCTTTAACTTTAACTGGATTCAAATTTTCGTCCATATTAGTTTTAACTCCATTAACTATACGTTCTAATATGATCATAAACTCATTGTCAAACTGCTTTAGTCTGGATTTTATTCCTTTTGACATATTAAAGTTATTAATAAGATCTTCAAAACATTCCAAATGATTTGTTGATGAAAAATATTCTGGTTTTTTTATTTGTAGAAATGCTGACGAAATCTGTGAAAATAACAAACAATGAAAGAAGTGAAACAATAAATAAATGTATAATTACTTACGTCCATTTTATGTGAGTTTTATTACCCAAAAATCAATAATAATGAAAATTTAATTCAATTTTTTGCAAAAATTTTATTTTTGTTTACTAATTAGACTTCCTGGTGGGTGTGTGTACCATTTTAACTGTTAAATTCAATGTTGAAAACAGTTAAAAATTTGATGCGTTCAAGAATTTTAAATTCTAAAAATCCGTTAAAAATCAAAGTATTTCGTATCTGAAAAAATTGATGAAATGTCAATTGTAGTTTTAAGAATGAATTAAAAAAACCATCAAAATAACTTGAAAGTAATCATCTTTTAATATATTCTTTATCGTAAACATTAATTCATATAAAATATAAGAAACTTCCGTAAATTCTCTTAGAAGTTAATAAACAAAATCTTATATAGCGTATCGTCTTAAAAAAAATCAAGTTAAAGTAATTAATATCGAATTAATTCAATTATCGTGGTCGACACAGTCACTTGTCGTCCCATCCATCATCAGCAACTTTTGACGTTGCATTTGGATTTGTTGTTAAACTCTGGTCAGGAACTGAATTCTGCTTTATAGTTGGTTCAGCATTGTCCCAATCATCAATAGGATCAATTTTTGTCTTGTTCTTATTATCAGGTTTTGACTTGCTTTCATCATCTGACCAGCCACTTGCAGCTGCAGTTTCATTATTTTTGCTGTTATTATTATTGTATCGGTCATTATTGTCATTTCTATTCCATTGTCCACCACGGCCTCTTCCTCTACCACGTCCACGAAAGCCTCGATCATTATTCCCTCCTACACGTCTTTCAAAGCCTTGATCATTATTGCCATTAAATCTGTCATTATAGCCGCGATTATCACCAAATCTATTATTATTTTTCGATTGATCATTTTCTTCATCAGACCAGCCTGTTTGCATACGATTTGAAGGATTAAAGCTCTTACGATTATCGCTTTTGCTACGATATCGCTTGACTTTACTATCGTCGTCATCCCAAGTTGATTGGGTTTGATTTGGCTTATTATTATTGGAAGTTTTGCCACTGTCTTCTTCTCCCCAGCCTGATTTTGTTGGTACAGTGCCTGATTCATCACCCCATCCGTCATCATCCTTGAATCTCTTATTGGCATTTCCATTTTCGTACTCAATTGTGTTATTTTCTCGCTTATTTCGTTGTCTATGTTCAGCATAAGTCTCACATGCTCTATCGTTTGCTTGTGTTTTTGGTACAATTTCTAGGATTATCGGCATTTCTATAGGCAGCGTACAATAACCAAGCTGTCCTAATTCACCCAGAAATACAGAATAATTGTAACATTGACTTTCCTGATATTTTCTTACAATTTCCTTCAAGTTCTGTTCCTTATTAAGTGGTGCTACTTGGATTGGATTAAGCAGCTTCTCTTGTTCTTTTGCCAATAAATCATGTCCTAATTGTCCTGTATTCCATGCTGCCATTGAACTGGAAGTTTATGAAAATTTTCTATTATATCATATTTTTGCCATGTTTAATGATGTTCCTACCTGGTTACTGGTTTCTGGTTCTTTATGGATTCTCCGGTTTAAGTACATCTTTAGTTAATTTAATCGATATTAATGTTGAAAAATTGCAAAAAGTAGAAATTCACCTGAAAAATATTAAATACACAAGATATGAGATTAATTTCATGATTATCAAGTGTTTGGGTTGTTTATATGCTTACTAGTCAATTAAGCTACTCACAGCTTGCTAAATCTGCTTTATTTAACAAATTTAAGTTTTTTTTGTATCAGGTTCAATATTTTTTGAGATTCAAAATGCAAGTTCAAAATTTGAATTTAGAAAAACCGTTGAGATTCAATTATTTATTTTCCGTTAAATTCCTGCTAGAAAACAAATGAAAACATTGAAAAATTAAAAATTTCATGTAACGGTTTTTTGAGATTCAAAAGTTAACTGTTTTTTGAACTTTAAACTTTTGGAGGGAGATTAATTTATTTCTCGATAACGCGTGAGAATTCGAGTTAAATTAAAATAATTAATAAAAGGAAAACTGTAAGTATTTTCTTAATAAATTGTTATTAAACCAATTGACTAATATATGTTTCACTTCAATTTAAGTGATTGGTAACAAAGAAACCTCACATATTACATACATTCACCCAAATAATTATTTTTTCTGTTTCTTTCGTTTATAGACAGACATTGTGTGATTTTAAATTTAGCTATTACAGCATTCTTCATCCATCCATCTATCGGATTTGATCGGCATAATGAATATGTAAGTGTTATTAAAAAATATTTTTATTACAATATACTATTTAATTTCTTTTTTTTGTTGTAAATCAGGTCCAGAGACGTGCGGGAAAAGCCAACGAATGGAATTATTTTTGATCCATACAAATTAAGTGATTTGGACAGACAATTATATTTCCAAAATCAATTGATCATTAGAAATGAGATACAAGAATGCGAACGTTTGTCAAGAGAATTAAGAGAACCGATTTTATCGTTCAAAATTGCGGAATTAAAAGATGGGACATTTTACATTTTTGAGATAAATTCACATAACACACTCGACGTTCAAGAACAATGTACCGTCTTTGCTTCAAAATTTAATAAGGACTCTCAGTTTCTACATTTCTTAGTACATGAAGTGAGATTGGGAGAAAGTACAATGAGAATTAAAACACAATTAATTAGTTACACAAAAGAGCGCAACATAACCGACACATACAAATTCATTGGAATAAAATGTGATATAGGATCACTTAAATCAAGAGAACTTGCGATTAAGCAATTCTTCGCCAATCAAGTTAAAGACAAAACACCTAGATTTCCTTCCAAAATTGGTGATGTCTTAAAAATGCAACTGAACAAGTCTGAAAAATTTGATAAAAAGTCCGATGGTGATGAACAGGAAAATGCTATATATGATGCGCTGAAAAATTATGTTACCATAATTCAAGGTGCACCGGGCACAGGAAAGACACAAGTAGCATGCGAAATTGCAAGACGACATGAGCAATTTTATCCAGATTTAAAAGAATTAAAAATTTTAATCGTTTCCACGCAAAATGTCGCAAGCGACAATTTATTAGCAAGATGTTTGACATCATTCGAAGGAAAGTATGAAGTGATGCGATACAATTCACAACTACACAAGCTCGTTACATCATTCAAGGATTACTGCTTGGAATCTAAAATTTTGAACATGCTTGAAACTGGTGAAATTGATGATAAGAAGCAAAATGAGTATGAAAACCTTCAATCGAATGTTTATGAAGCAAACTATGCATTTGAAGACTTATTAAAGCAAAGTTATGATGGCCCAGCTAGAAATAGTGCAAAGAGAGCAATAACACAGGCTGAGCAACAGTCACAACAATTTGTAAAAGAGTTGGTTGGAGATTTTATTAACAAAAATGTGAATGTTGTCGTAACAACAATCAGTTCGATAAAAAATTTATCAAGGATGGTAAAATGGAAGTTAGTGATTGTGGATGAGGCTGCATACACACCACCTTACGATATTTTCATGTCATCTGTTTACTGCGAACCAAACATTGGCAAACTTGTGTTACTAGGAGACATTAAGCAACTCCGTAAGCTATTTAAATATTAATTATTTATCATTGGACTGTTACTAACTATTTTTCAATTTTTACTTATTTAGAACCTTTCTATTTGCATCCAAAGAATCAAGAAAAAGTGACTACTAGCAACAATGTGAAAATATTACAAGAAAAATGTAGAAGCATCCAGTACAGATTAGTACATGATTTAAAGTTTGCTAATACGTGCTTTTTACACAAACAAAATAGATGTGTACCTGAAATTTCAAACTTAGTAAGCGGTTTATTTTATGAAAATACACTACTATCGCACAATATTGATCAAAAAACGCGCATAAGTTTGAAAACCGGAAGGCACATTAAAATAATTTTTCACCAAAGCATGGACGAACCTTTGGGAATGAACAATTTGATGTATAATAGTACATCATATATCAACAGAGGTGAAGCTGATATGATTGTTGAAGTGGTCAACAACTTACACGAGACATTGGATATGAGAGATATGGAGTTTTCATTAAGTGACATAACTGTACTTACATTCTACAAGCAGCAAAAATTTTTGCTGAACACAAAAAAAATGAACGTTGAAATTAGTACAGTGGATGCTTTCCAAGGACGGGAAAATAAAATAATAATAATATCATGTGTCCGTCAAAACGAGCAGAAGAACATTGGATTTTTAGAAGATGTTTTTAGATTAAACACAGCTTTGTCACGAGCAAGAGACGTCTTAATACTGGTTTGTGGAGAAATGTTTAAAACATTCAAAGAAGACACTATCTGGGGAAGGCTCGTTCAGGCATGCAACAAATAGAATAAAAATTAAACTAATGAAAAAATGAAATTTAATAAAATAATGGAGAATTAAAATAAATGATACGAAATTAATAAAAATAAACTTTATTCTGAAATCTAAATCATACACATGTTAAAACGTACTTTAATTAAATGGTCTGCATCATTACTTTTTCAGATTACTATATTATTTGCTGAAAAGAGACTTTTTGCACACATGAGAAATGTAGGTGAAAAATATTTTCATACAAATTTATGTTTTCAGGTTTGGTTAATTTAACTAGTGAAAATAAAATATTATGCTGAAATAAAATTATTCTTGTTTTGACAAATGCTTTTATTAATAAATTATGATCATGAATAGTTTTACTAAAAATTTTTATTGTGACTTATATGGATGAAGATTTGCCGCAGCAAGGACTACTTTCGCCTGTGATTCATCATGACGTTCTTTAATACCACTCATGAATTTAATTTTTTCTTTTTGTGTCAAGTCATTAAAAGTAATCCACTTAATATCAGGATGTTCGGTAAAGCCCCTTTCTTTTATAAGTTTACAAGCTTCAATTCTTTCTTTTGTGAAATTCAATTCGGCTTCGAACAGTTTTAGATGTGAATTTAATGCAAGCACTGTGAATGGAAATGTTAATTGTCTTGTATGTATCTTAATTGGATCCACATTTAATCCATCATGAACATATTTGATGTGAATAATCATTGAGTGCCTTTCATTGCAAACAACAGGGACAATGTGTCTGGGAAATCCAATAGGACAAAGGAACTTTTCGTATCCATGATGATTTTCTAGATGTGCTGTAGTTAATGACCAGTAAGTCATTTTCTCATAACAGTTTGGAATTGGACACTTATAAATTTTGTTTGGACCAGGACATGTATTATGCAATTTAAATGGTCCGAATGTGCTGTTCTTCCAATGTTGTGTTGAAATGTTTTTAACATGCCCTGAATTATTAAGCAGTTCATGTCCATTTCCCTTGATAACTATGTTTTGTTGGAAAAAATTGCATGCATCTGGATACATTCTATTTATCTCATCCATTGATATCTCTGGTGTAAATGTTATATTCATATCTAAACAATTTTCATGGTTATTACGCTGCTGAACTTCAGGTGATTTGTCAATAGTCGACATATTTTGAGATCCTTGCTGTATTGAGCAATCTTTGCTTTCTTCATTTATCTGATCCACTTCCATTGGAATCTCTTCTAAATTAACTTGAATCCAGGTATTCATATTCTCCTTGTTTAAATAATTGAGAACAATTTTTTTATCATCATATTTCACCAATGTTAACTTTCCATTTTTTTCCGTCAATATTAAATATCCTTGGTTGCAAATGACTGTTAATTTTTCAATAATTCTTCGTTCGAAGAAAACAAGAATGCAGCAACTGTTATTATTGTTATTAATTTTGTATGCAGTGTTAGGCAGCATTTCATCCGGAAAATCTGACAGCGGCTCCAATCGTACGTTATCACAATCATTTAATAATGATTTGGATTTTATGAGAACTAAATGAAGGAAACTAGTGTTCAATTCATTCAATGACTGCAATTTATGTAATCCCGTCGTAAAAGCGATGGACAAGTTGATAAAGTCAGAAGAATCGCTGCAGTATGTATTAACTTCCATGATATTTTTTGAATTACTTGATTTCTTCCATCTATTTAACAGAATTCTCCATTAATCTATGGGACAAATAAATATGTAATTTAGAAGCATGATATATGTATAAAAATATGCAAAAACTTACTTTTTGATAATGATCTGATTTGTTTATTGAAAAATAATCCAAAGGAATTGCTTTTTTAAGAGCTTTTAGTTTTGATGACGCAACAACGTATAAAAATGGTGGTAATTCCTGTAATGTATAGGTGTTTTCCTTCTTAACACTAACTTCTTTTCCAGTTTCATCAAGAGTAATTCCATTCACGTCGAATATTAGGCGAAATTTTTTGTTAAAAGATTCCATAGCTTCCACAACTGACTTATTAAGATCCAAGTACTCCAAAAGATTTTGGAAATCTTTGAAATCATTATGGTTACAATATCCTATTAAATCTTGCGTCGCTTCTATGTATATACAGAATAATACAGTTGTGTCAAAGTATTGTCTTAATTGATCCATTTGTTGACTAAGATGCTCAGGTGGGAATCACAAAAAAATTGAACTTTACGGACACTTTTTCGATGAAACTATCATCAATGAGGATTTAGAGACGGCATTTGAGCAGCTTGTTGAAACAGTCACTCGTGCCGAGAATGAGTCTTTATGGTAAGTTTTGAATAGACTTTATCTTTTAAAGTGATTCAAGAACTTTTCATCCATTACAGGGCACCAGCATCATGGGTACAATAGAAAGCTTTATCATAAAAGTAATGTTTCTCGTGTGAATCTTCTCTCTCTTTCTTCTATTCTGTTCTTAATCAATGGTGCTTTTACTTGATGAACAAAAGAGAAAAATCTCCCATTTTTAGTCAAATTTTATGTTTCCATCCTTCCTTATAACTTATATATTATTTTTATACATTTAGGAAATTGTTTTTTAACCTTTCTAGATAATTTTTATGCTCAAATTTATCTTAATTTTCACTGCCACCATTATCTAATGACTCTTTTATTGAGGAATTTAATGTATAACAAAAGAAGTTGTCAAGAATTTTCGTTGATTCCTTTCGTAAAAAAAATGCATAATTCATGAGGTTGGTTTGGAATTTATTGATGGAATTTACAGAAGCGATTATCTCACTCAATATTCAGATGCCTAAAATATTCACACACACACACACCTGAGAGTCCTTGCATATTTTACAAGGACAAGAGTAAACACATTTGGGTGTTTATTTTGACTCAAACTGTCGAATCTTTAGGTGAAAATTTTCATTTTTCTTGAACATGGTTTTGGTATATGTAGCTTGTGTATATTGGTAAATAGCTGCGATATTCTTCACAGATGGCTTTTATCTTTAATACTGTGTATTCCTTAAGAAAGTGGTTTTTTGGATATAAACTTCGAGAACTTGTTTAGTTTCAAAATTGCATGATTCTTTGTGTACTTTTTGATAGACATCTTAGAATATACATAAACCAAGACTTAAGTTTGCCTAAAAGTGAGGAGGAATCGACACAAATCGATGAAAATAGGCCTAGCTTATGAAAAAATTTCCAATTTCATACATCAATTATTGCGAAAATAACCTTCTTTCCATCAAAAAGTTCAACCAACTTCTATTTGTTAACTATAGTAAAGACTAAAAGTCGTTCACTTATGGCATCCATCACAAAATTAGGGTTTTAAACTCGTCTTTATCATTAAAATTTTAATTTAAAAAATTTCTTTTGTTTAAAGTGTCACACAACTCTAGTTCCCCCTCTAAATGATGGATGTCATATGTGAATGAGTCATAAAAGGATATCCTGATTTAAAAATTTAACACATTTAGGTGCCGTAGATAAACATCCAAAAAAAGAAAAACAATTGAAATTAAAAGTTTTAATGAACTTATTTTTTTCCCAACAAAAAAATTATGAAAAAATATATTATAAAAAATTTCTAAAATTTCTCCCTACTCCATCGCTTTTGATCCAAAGAAATTAAAGTTTCTGAGAAAGATATAACAAAAAATAAATTATGGATAAAAACCAAAACGTACCTTTTCAAGATTTAAAAACTTAATAAATAAAAAAATAGAAATTACTTTTTAACCTTATCATAAATTGATGAAAATTTTAATAGTTTTGATAATGCATACGATGAGAACATAACTAGTTAACCCATGCTTTAAACAACCAAAATTTTACCATTTTTGCATTTCTAAAAATTCATTTCATTCTCTAGATAAAATTTTATTTTCAACTTTATTGAATTGTATAAAAAAGAAACTTGTTGATTAATTTATAGAAGAGATTTAATTATTCTAATGTGAATTGTGCAAGTATGTAGTTATAATTTGTCTTTGTATAAGCCAAAAAATAATAAAAAGAGAAATCAACTTAAAAAGTTTGTAGTGTTCAGAGAGAATAAAAGAAAGAAAAAAAAATATATTTGAAAAGAATCGAGCATGTCTTTTTAATTTTCACGAATTATTTGTGGCTTAAAGTCCAATTTACTGGCTTTGGCAAGTCCTTCTGCATAAATTGGTAATCTCTGGCACATTCTAAATGTATGAAGATCTCTAGATTGACGGCATTGATTTAAATCAACTTCACAGATTAAAATTCCATCATCATCACGAGACATTCCTGGTGAACGACATCCTTCAGGCGTAGCTAGATAAGTCGATCCATAAAATGGCCCCATATCTTTATGTGCTTTTGTGCCGTCAGCTGATGTAAATTCATTTGGAAAAATTTCAGTTCCTACACGGTTTATCTAGTAAATTAAATAATTAAAACAATTATGTTAATTTGATAAATAAATTTGTTATGCAAATTAGCAGTAATTAGATAATTACAGTAACAGTGAAGAAAGAATTGGCTACGGCTGCATTACGACCCTCAATGAACCACATTCTGTCACTTAGACTTCCCCCAATTTCAGCACTTGGATTGAAAACAATTTCAGCTCCATTAAGTCCAAACATCATCCAATTTTGAGGATGATGACGACCATAGCAAATGTTAATAGCAATTTTCCCGAATTGGGTTTCAAAGACAGGATGTCCTGTATTGCCTTCAAAATAATATGTCGACTCATTAAAGTCACCAACACGAGGAATCACTTATATCTCTTATTAGGATCACTGCATGAAGATACTAACTTAAATGGGCCATATAAAGAATTTGTCCAGTACTGCATATTTCGATTATGGATATGTGCTGTATAATTCAATACCTCATAGCCACTACCGTAAATGTGCACGTGCTTTTTTATGAAATCTGCTGCTTGCGAGTATTCTTTATCGATTTCTTCTGATGTCATAGCAGCCGTGAATTCAATTTTCATCACCTCATTATCATTGTCATCAAAAACTTGACATCTTTTACGTTTTGGTGCTTTTTTTATATTTTGTTCTCGTTCTGCTGCCTCGTAAATTTTAAATCCACTTATACCAGCAATTAATAAATCCTCATGTAAGCACGTTATGTTGTATACAAACATTTCATCAATTGAGTAGCCATTTAACACCAGAATATCGTTCAATGTTTGTCGCTGATAAGTCTTCAGAGACCAAGTATCGTTATTATTTGTTGCCAAAAATTTAAGCTGTTCATTACATTCTGTTCTCATATATGCGTACACTTTATTTTTGTTTCTGCTTATTAATATTCCATTCATCAAGTTATCTGCATTAAAATCACAACGTATGTTTATTTTTGCTGCTCCATATGTAAATGTTTTACATTGAACATCCCTTAATACGCGATCCCAAGATGACTCTTCACTGTATTTATTCGTTAAAATAGCAAATAATTCATGTATTAAATCCAAATCTTTGCTGGCTAAATAAAATTGAATTATACATGCTAATGACATTAGGCATTCCTTAAGTTTCTCATCCTTGTACATCTGTAAATTAACTCGAATGTTATATTGCGAAATCATTCCTCCTATTGTTGTGTCAATTGTATAAACTTTGTATTCCTGATCCAAGCATTTTTTCCTCAAAAACTTTTCTACTGCCTTTTCGGACATAAATTTCATCATCACTGTATAATTTTCGTCACATTTGCTTTCGATAGCAAGGAATTTCTCATTATATACACTCTCAATGCGCTCACAATTTATTACAAAAATATTCGCTTGCTTATTTTGCAACACTTGCACTTCATTTCCAGATAAATTAAATGATAAAACATTTCGATGCGCTGCAGTAACATGGAAGCAAGTTTCATTTAACGAACAATCAGTATCGTTAATAATGTTGACGTAATAAGCAGTATCCACAATTTCGCATAGCATTAATGGAGTTACTTCATTCAAGTCCTCAACTTTCATTATTTTGCAGATTGCTGACACAGCCATTTTGGTCGTGTTTTTAATAGATTCAAAGCATTCAATAAATTTAAAATTTTTTTTCTCATTCCACTTCCATCTATTTAGTGCTATAGATGTTTTTTCCTCAATCTAAAGTTAAATGAAGAAAGTAGATGAATTATTTAATTTCATAAAGTGCCAATCAATACTTACAGTTATACTGTGTTTTTTGGATATTTTTTCAATTTTCTTCTTCGTAATTTGCTGTAGAAGGAATGGAAGTTCTCTGATCAAGTAGGAATGGCACTCTTTAACTTTAACTGGATTCAAATTTTCGTCCATATTAGTTTTAACTCCATTAACTATACGTTCTAATATGATCATAAACTCATTGTCAAACTGCTTTAGTCTGGATTTTATTCCTTTTGACATATTAAAGTTATTAATAAGATCTTCAAAACATTCCAAATGATTTGTTGATGAAAAATATTCTGGTTTTTTTATTTGTAGAAATGCTGACGAAATCTGTGAAAATAACAAACAATGAAAGAAGTGAAACAATAAATAAATGTATAATTACTTACGTCCATTTTATGTGAGTTTTATTACCCAAAAATCAATAATAATGAAAAATTAATTCAATTTTTTGCAAAAATTTTATTTTTGTTTACTAATTAGACTTCCTGGTGGGTGTGTGTACCATTTTAACTGTTAAATTCAATGTTGAAAACAGTTAAAAATTTGATGCGTTCAAGAATTTTAAATTCTAAAAATCCGTTAAAAATCAAAGTATTTCGTATCTGAAAAAATTGATGAAATGTCAATTGTAGTTTTAAGAATGAATTAAAAAAACCATCAAAATAACTTGAAAGTAATCATCTTTTAATATATTCTTTATCGTAAACATTAATTCATATAAAATATAAGAAACTTCCGTAAATTCTCTTAGAAGTTAATAAACAAAATCTTATATAGCGTATCGTCTTAAAAAAAATCAAGTTAAAGTAATTAATATCGAATTAATTCAATTATCGTGGTCGACACAGTCACTTGTCGTCCCATCCATCATCAGCAACTTTTGACGTTGCATTTGGATTTGTTGTTAAACTCTGGTCAGGAACTGAATTCTGCTTTATAGTTGGTTCAGCATTGTCCCAATCATCAATAGGATCAATTTTTGTCTTGTTCTTATTATCAGGTTTTGACTTGCTTTCATCATCTGACCAGCCACTTGCAGCTGCAGTTTCATTATTTTTGCTGTTATTATTATTGTATCGGTCATTATTGTCATTTCTATTCCATTGTCCACCACGGCCTCTTCCTCTACCACGTCCACGAAAGCCTCGATCATTATTCCCTCCTACACGTCTTTCAAAGCCTTGATCATTATTGCCATTAAATCTGTCATTATAGCCGCGATTATCACCAAATCTATTATTATTTTTCGATTGATCATTTTCTTCATCAGACCAGCCTGTTTGCATACGATTTGAAGGATTAAAGCTCTTACGATTATCGCTTTTGCTACGATATCGCTTGACTTTACTATCGTCGTCATCCCAAGTTGATTGGGTTTGATTTGGCTTATTATTATTGGAAGTTTTGCCACTGTCTTCTTCTCCCCAGCCTGATTTTGTTGGTACAGTGCCTGATTCATCACCCCATCCGTCATCATCCTTGAATCTCTTATTGGCATTTCCATTTTCGTACTCAATTGTGTTATTTTCTCGCTTATTTCGTTGTCTATGTTCAGCATAAGTCTCACATGCTCTATCGTTTGCTTGTGTTTTTGGTACAATTTCTAGGATTATCGGCATTTCTATAGGCAGCGTACAATAACCAAGCTGTCCTAATTCACCCAGAAATACAGAATAATTGTAACATTGACTTTCCTGATATTTTCTTACAATTTCCTTCAAGTTCTGTTCCTTATTAAGTGGTGCTACTTGGATTGGATTAAGCAGCTTCTCTTGTTCTTTTGCCAATAAATCATGTCCTAATTGTCCTGTATTCCATGCTGCCATTGAACTGGAAGTTTATGAAAATTTTCTATTATATCATATTTTTGCCATGTTTAATGATGTTCCTACCTGGTTACTGGTTTCTGGTTCTTTATGGATTCTCCGGTTTAAGTACATCTTTAGTTAATTTAATCGATATTAATGTTGAAAAATTGCAAAAAGTAGAAATTCACCTGAAAAATATTAAATACACAAGATATGAGATTAATTTCATGATTATCAAGTGTTTGGGTTGTTTATATGCTTACTAGTCAATTAAGCTACTCACAGCTTGCTAAATCTGCTTTATTTAACAAATTTAAGTTTTTTTTGTATCAGGTTCAATATTTTTTGAGATTCAAAATGCAAGTTCAAAATTTGAATTTAGAAAAACCGTTGAGATTCAATTATTTATTTTCCGTTAAATTCCTGCTAGAAAACAAATGAAAACATTGAAAAATTAAAAATTTCATGTAACGGTTTTTTGAGATTCAAAAGTTAACTGTTTTTTGAACTTTAAACTTTTGGAGGGAGATTAATTTATTTCTCGATAACGCGTGAGAATTCGAGTTAAATTAAAATAATTAATAAAAGGAAAACTGTAAGTATTTTCTTAATAAATTGTTATTAAACCAATTGACTAATATATGTTTCACTTCAATTTAAGTGATTGGTAACAAAGAAACCTCACATATTACATACATTCACCCAAATAATTATTTTTTCTGTTTCTTTCGTTTATAGACAGACATTCATCCATCCATCTATCGGATTTGATCGGCATAATGAATATGTAAGTGTTATTAAAAAATATTTTTATTACAATATACTATTTAATTTCTTTTTTTTGTTGTAAATCAGGTCCAGAGACGTGCGGGAAAAGCCAACGAATGGAAATATTTTTGATCCATACAAATTAAGTGATTTGGACAGACAATTATATTTCCAAAATCAATTGATCATTAGAAATGAGATACAAGAATGCGAACGTTTGTCAAGAGAATTAAGAGAACCGATTTTATCGTTCAAAATTGCGGAATTAAAAGATGGGACATTTTACATTTTTGAGATAAATTCACATAACACACTCGACGTTCAAGAACAATGTACCGTCTTTGCTTCAAAATTTAATAAGGACTCTCAGTTTCTACATTTCTTAGTACATGAAGTGAGATTGGGAGAAAGTACAATGAGAATTAAAACACAATTAATTAGTTACACAAAAGAGCGCAACATAACCGACACATACAAATTCATTGGAATAAAATGTGATATAGGATCACTTAAATCAAGAGAACTTGCGATTAAGCAATTCTTCGCCAATCAAGTTAAAGACAAAACACCTAGATTTCCTTCCAAAATTGGTGATGTCTTAAAAATGCAACTGAACAAGTCTGAAAAATTTGATAAAAAGTCCGATGGTGATGAACAGGAAAATGCTATATATGATGCGCTGAAAAATTATGTTACCATAATTCAAGGTGCACCGGGCACAGGAAAGACACAAGTAGCATGCGAAATTGCAAGACGACATGAGCAATTTTATCCAGATTTAAAAGAATTAAAAATTTTAATCGTTTCCACGCAAAATGTCGCAAGCGACAATTTATTAGCAAGATGTTTGACATCATTCGAAGGAAAGTATGAAGTGATGCGATACAATTCACAACTACACAAGCTCGTTACATCATTCAAGGATTACTGCTTGGAATCTAAAATTTTGAACATGCTTGAAACTGGTGAAATTGATGATAAGAAGCAAAATGAGTATGAAAACCTTCAATCGAATGTTTATGAAGCAAACTATGCATTTGAAGACTTATTAAAGCAAAGTTATGATGGCCCAGCTAGAAATAGTGCAAAGAGAGCAATAACACAGGCTGAGCAACAGTCACAACAATTTGTAAAAGAGTTGGTTGGAGATTTTATTAACAAAAATGTGAATGTTGTCGTAACAACAATCAGTTCGATAAAAAATTTATCAAGGATGGTAAAATGGAAGTTAGTGATTGTGGATGAGGCTGCATACACACCACCTTACGATATTTTCATGTCATCTGTTTACTGCGAACCAAACATTGGCAAACTTGTGTTACTAGGAGACATTAAGCAACTCCGTAAGCTATTTAAATATTAATTATTTATCATTGGACTGTTACTAACTATTTTTCAATTTTTACTTATTTAGAACCTTTCTATTTGCATCCAAAGAATCAAGAAAAAGTGACTACTAGCAACAATGTGAAAATATTACAAGAAAAATGTAGAAGCATCCAGTACAGATTAGTACATGATTTAAAGTTTGCTAATACGTGCTTTTTACACAAACAAAATAGATGTGTACCTGAAATTTCAAACTTAGTAAGCGGTTTATTTTATGAAAATACACTACTATCGCACAATATTGATCAAAAAACGCGCATAAGTTTGAAAACCGGAAGGCACATTAAAATAATTTTTCACCAAAGCATGGACGAACCTTTGGGAATGAACAATTTGATGTATAATAGTACATCATATATCAACAGAGGTGAAGCTGATATGATTGTTGAAGTGGTCAACAACTTACACGAGACATTGGATATGAGAGATATGGAGTTTTCATTAAGTGACATAACTGTACTTACATTCTACAAGCAGCAAAAATTTTTGCTGAACACAAAAAAAATGAACGTTGAAATTAGTACAGTGGATGCTTTCCAAGGACAGGAAAATAAAATAATAATAATATCATGTGTCCGTCAAAACGAGCAGAAGAACATTGGATTTTTAGAAGATGTTTTTAGATTAAACACAGCTTTGTCACGAGCAAGAGACGTCTTAATACTGGTTTGTGGAGAAATGTTTAAAACATTCAAAGAAGACACTATCTGGGGAAGGCTCGTTCAGGCATGCAACAAATAGAATAAAAATTAAACTAATGAAAAAATGAAATTTAATAAAATAATGGAGAATTAAAATAAATGATACGAAATTAATAAAAATAAACTTTATTCTGAAATCTAAATCATACACATGTTAAAACGTACTTTAATTAAATGGTCTGCATCATTACTTTTTCAGATTACTATATTATTTGCTGAAAAGAGACTTTTTGCACACATGAGAAATGTAGGTGAAAAATATTTTCATACAAATTTATGTTTTCAGGTTTGGTTAATTTAACTAGTGAAAATAAAATATTATGCTGAATCTAAAATATCCATATGTTGAAATATGCTTCAATTAACAAGTCTGCATCATTCCTTTTATAAATATCTTTATTATTTGCTGGAAAGAGACTTTTTTCAGGCAAGTGAAAAGCACGTGAGAAATATTTTCATACAAATTTATGTTTTCAGGTTTGGTTAATTTAACTAGTGAAAATAAAATATTATGCTGAAATAAAATTATTCTTGTTTTGACAAATGCTTTTATTAATAAATTATGATCATGAATAGTTTTACTAAAAATTTTTATTGTGACTTATATGGATGAAGATTTGCCGCATGTTGAGATTTATGATACGGGTTGAGTCGTCTTGCAGCTCGTCTCCGGAAAACCTCTCTCTCTACCTTTTGCACGTTTGAACTGTTACGAAGATGTGCACGTAATGCCACTTCGCGTTCCCCTATCACTGCTTTTATCGCCTCCCACGAATCTTCCTTCAGAACCTTTGGGGTTGAGCACACTGCTAGCTCCTCCTCAAATGGCTCCCACTGGTCTTCTGTAACCTCCTCCGTGGTGACTTTCCTTATGTTTATCTTTATTACTTATTAATTATCTTTATAGTACTTAAAAGTACTCTTTAAGCCCTTTTTAGTATTTATTCCTTTCTCCTTTTATCTTTATCCCTTTCCTGATCACCTCCCACGAATCTTCCTTCATAACCTTCGGAGTTGAGCACACTGCCAGCTCCTCCTTAAATGTTGAGATCTTGAACAAGGGTGGAAAGCCCTTATTCGTCTTTATGCTGTTAGACTTCTGTGTGCTTCTCTCTCAGCCTTATGCACGTTCTCGTTATCTCCGAGATGCGTCAGCAATACAATCTCTCGTTCTTCCACCTCAGTCTTGATCGCCTGCCACGAGTCTTCACAGCCTTTAGGGGTCGCTCCTTCATAGATGGCTACCACTCTACGTCCGATACTTCTTTTACCGTCGTGATCTCCGTGGTAATAGGTCCTTTATTCACCTTTGATTCTTTAATCCTTTTTACTCCCTTTTCCTTTACCCTTATATCTTTATCTTTTGTTCTTTTATCCTTTTCATTCCCTTTTCCTTTATCCTTATATCTTTAACCCTTTCCTTTAGATGTTTTCAGCTCGATTGCCAAAACAATAATGAATTTCCCTGCAATAATTCGCTCCTTTTATAGGGAAATTTTCCCGCCAAAAATTGCCCCTTTCATCCTTTCTCTTTCACACCCTTTTTTGTCTCTTTCATTCTTTTTGAAAATGAAATGTCCGTTAAATTTCTTTTGCTTTATATTCATCATTTCAACACTCCTCCTCAAAAGAAATTTCATAATTGAGACCCGCAGAATTCCTTAGCCTTTTTATTTTTTTCTCCAGTCAGTGGTTTAGTCAGCATATCTGCTATATTGTTTCCTGTAGGACAATAATTAACCTTTATTTGATTCTTTTCTCTTAAATCTTTTATAAAATGATACTTTGTATCTATATGTTTCGATCTATTACTGAATTTACTGTTTTCTGTCATTTTGATACAACTTTGATTATCCCCGTAAATCATTACTGGTTCCATTTCATGATTGAATTCATTCAGAATTCCTTTTACCCACATGACCTCCTGTGTTGTTTCTACAAGAGCTACATACTCTGCTTCTGTTGATGACAATGAGACACATTCCTGCTTGCGGCATGCCATTACTTTCTTTAAATTCTGAAAATAAATCTCTATTGCCACAAACATGCTCTGTGGATCCTGAATCTATACACGAATCTGTAAAATCTTTTTCTTTATCCTTCAACCAATCCTTATATTTTAAGCATTCACGCTTAAAGTGACCCTCTTCTTACAGAAAT